ATATGCTAAAATATATATATTAATGAGGGGAATATGAAAGTCACTGGTTCCTTCCACTTTGTTAGAGAGGAAACTTCACCCTGAGGTCAGAGGAAGTGGCGTCCTGGTGAAGGTTTCAGTTAGTGTTTGGTGGAGTACATGACACATTTTTAGTATGCACCACAGATCACGCCACCACTGTGTAATAGTGTACCAACGCTAACATCCTGCACTTGTTTACAGAGTACAAATAACAGAATTGGATTTGTTAGTTTCGTCTTGTTTGATTTAGTGAGCACACGGTCAACTTCCTGATTAGTGTCCTCGCAAACATTTAGATATTTATCTGATGCAGCTGTATTTGTTGCCTCCAAATAAAACAGAATGAAATAAAAGAATAAAATGCCTCTAAAAGTTGTTGTGATAGCAAATGGATCGTAAACTGAACTCACAATGGATAGGATGTTATCTCTGGTGATAGCTTTGTCTGGTATGATGATCTTGAACCTGAAGCTGTCAGACTGGATATGCCAGTGAACTCCCAAAGCCATTTTTATGGGAAGCACATCCAGATCCAGGGTGAGATTGTTAACCTCTGTTGCCCTTTCCTCTTCAAGGATAGCAGACAGCACAACCCTTGTGTTGCTTACCCACTCGGTGAGTCTGAGTCCATCCATTTCACATACAGCTCACAAGGTGTGGTACTACCATTCTGAATGGACTTATTTAAGGCAGTCGTCCACATACAAGTTGTGCAGCACTGTGTCTATTGCCTGGACATTGGATTGATCTTTGCTGTCTTCTGCACATTTACGCAGGGCAGCTTGGAGATTAGGCTCAACCTGCGTTGGCGTATCTCATGTACATAGCTTGAAAAGGAAAAACTTCCACAAGTATTTTTATTCCACAGTTATCCTCTTAGGGGAGTATTCAAAGTTCTTCTAATCAGTAAACTGTACTGCAGTAGGAAAACAGTGAAGCTTCGTAGTTACTTGAACTTCAACTGAACAAAAAAAACACATTTTTCATGAATTCACCCCAATGAGCACAAGACCCCTATTTCTCACACACCTCTCCCACACAGATATTTTTGAAAACAGATAAAAAATAATTCTGTCCACACGACCTTCGATTTACAAAATATCTCCATCCACAAAAGAACGCTGAAATGCTCTCCGGCATTACCTCTCTTCTCGTTGCAAAGGTCAACACATTCTCACTCTGACCTCGTCACATATTGACGTTTGGTCATGAACTTTCCACGACCACATTCGACATGCAAGGTACCCTGGGTGCGTTGCATGTTGACATTCTGGGACACCGTGTCAAGTTCTCTTCTTTTAAGATACACTTTCGTTTTCACAGGAAATTCAGTGGGAGTAAAGATGATGAACAAACACACGTGGTTGGGTTTAGGAAAAAGGAACAGGATTTGGCTTTAGAATCTTACGGGATGCGAACACCACTTTGTCAGGTGAAAGTCGGTGTTTGTTGGACCCATCCAACACCCCTCCCACTCACCCACTTTTGCTGCCTAACTTTCGTCCTTGTCCCCCCGCGTTTCCCCCTGACGCTGCTGGGCGCCGTTAAACTATAACGGCAACTACCCGCATAGCATGCTGACATTAAAGCAGCTGTGCGGAACTTTTCGTTTTCATTGATTATAGCGCCCCTTTGGTCGGAGCGGTATGACACCCAAAGCCTGGTGTCGTAAAATTCTGACTGCAGCCGGCAATTACAGCATGCATTTGTTTTGGAGAGCGAGAGGATTAACTAACGTCAGGTCAGTCCAAGTAATTAGTGGAAACAGCAAAATTACTCAGTAAATTCTCCTGTCGTGTTTCTGTTCTGATCTAATGTAATCTGTTGTGTGTTTTGAGCTACTAAAGCTACCGTAGTAGTGTGAGCCTCAATTTATTCTGGGTAATGTAGTAACCGTTGTTGTGCTACTGGAAACAATGAGAAGCAGCCGTGTACGTTCGGTGTAAGGAGGAATAAACAGTTAACAAGTCATCTGCTGAGTCCGCATTATTATGTGAAAAGAATACTCCGACGATTTGGGAGTTATGCCCTTTCTCTATCATTTTCATATTGAGACAGCGGTTAGCATGGCACTTGTAGGGGGTCAGTACATCTTGCGCGGAGGGATACACCGGTGAGCAACAGCTGCTCTGGGACAGGTACGCTAGGTCACTCGGTAAAAGCAAACAAAGAGACGACACGGACGATATTACTCACCCGACTGAAAGCTGTCCATCAGCTCCTGCAGGCCTGGGGCGTTTTTTCCAGTTCATCTTAGGAACATGAAAAAAAGTTTCAATCATGCCAGGATTAGTGATTGCTGCAAAGTTTTCATTCCTTGTGATGCACTCTCTGTGGCGCTTTTCCTCCTGATGATATATCTCCCCAATGATGGTAGCACTGAGGGAGCGGAGGATTCAGCCTCTCTTCTCACCTGCTCAGCATCCAACACATGGAGTTCCTCATCTGTGTACTCCGGCTCAAACAGGTATGGCTCTGGATCTGTGTCCACTACAAGAAACTCTTCAAAATCGCGTTCAAAGTCGTCCATTGCAGCTACTAAAATCCGGAGATATTGCTAGGCTAAATAAACAGCTGACTTTTGTTTACAAGCTACGTCTGTGCCTGCTCGCCGGTGTATCCCTCCGCGGGTCATAGCGCAGGACGTACTGACCCCCTATAAGCGCAATGCTAACCGCTGAGACCCAGCCACTGGATGTACGACACAAAAAAGATATCGATCATGTTGTCTCAGTATGAAAATGATAGAGAAAGGGCATAACTCCCAAATGGTCGGAGTATTCTTTTATGTGAAGATACACAGTGAAGACATAACATAATCCTTACACAGCAAAGCTGTTACCTGCAGCCTTCGCTTGCAAAGCTAACGCTACTAACGTTAGGTCAGTCCAAGTAATTAGTGGAAACATGCTAACATGCTAACGTTACACACAAATTAGTAATAAAGTAAGGCCTGATCATAAATGTTCTGGTGTAGCTCTGAATTTCTTATAAACTGAGGACAACTGCCTGCTGTATATTTGTGTTCATGGTCACAGTCACAGATAATTTTAGATGTTGCTCCTTTGTTATCCGCCATGACATCAAAAGTACAACCAAGTCCTCATAGATACATCTCTGGTAAAACTGTTAGGTGTTATGTGTTCAGCAATGCCCGTTGCGTACTGCTTACTCGAAGAACACTGTAAACACGGCTCCTTCTTCTGTGGTTTAATCGCTGCGGCTGCTGTGGGGCGAGCAGAATCACTTCGGCCTCGGGTGCTGTATTCTGGTTTGCTGTTCCGCTGTGTGTCCGACCCGAGTGAGGCTACGCTAAATAGCCATATAGAGAAAGGCTTTTTTGTCGCTGTTGGGTTCAAATAAATATGCGGATCTTCAAGGGGGGGTGATACGAACTAGGGGCAGTTTTATTAATGGTAAAAAGTTCCACACAGCTGCTTTAAAGGACTGCTTTTTATGTTGGTTTCTGACGTCGCAAGTCACTGCCCAAGTGCTGGATTTTGACGACCTTGGAGTGAGACCGGGCTCCAAAGGTAACAGAGAAACACCTATTGGAGATCTCATCATTGTTTATCCTTGTTCGATAGAAGGTTGAAGGAGCACACTCAAACATATGAGTGATGCTCTGGACATGCTAAAGTTTTAAAAGTTCTGTGCTGAAAATTCGCTGTACTTAAAAAATAAAGTGTGATTTTGACAAACTTGACACATTTGCGAGTCACTTGTGGTCCATTCAGAATGGACTTGCAACCCACTTTTGGACCGCGATCCACCAGTTGGAAACCACTGCCTTAGAAGGCGTTAAAAAAACATCAGTTTTGATGACTTAAAGCTCTATTTGTGTGTGGACAAGAGGCCATAACATAGAGGAAAATATCTGTTAACAAATATATCTGTACAGGTATAGACACTGACAGAGCCTTAAAGCAGTATCATACTAATGGAAAGCTCACATTGTATTGCCTCCTACAAAATATGCTTACATGACTTAAATAAAATTATTATGAGCAGACTTTTAACAACTTACTATTTTTCAACTTATTTCATTAATTCACTTATTTACTTCAATTTATATAAACTATAACAAAACACAGACTGCGCTCATTTACTGAACCACACATAAAGCCTAGAAATGTAACTTGGCTCCCACAGTTGTGTTTTTCGTTTCTTAAAAAGAAACACTCAACCTTCCTTTAGATACATTTTAAAAACTACCTAGAAGTCGTTGAGGCTATACGCTTGGGAAACTTTGCACTTTGAGTCTAGAGCTGACACTTGTGGGTGTTTACAAGATGCGAACGCGTGGTTGAAAGGTGCAGTTACCACAAGGTAAAAAGTACATTCAGATGACGCATTGTGTTCCAGTGTTGATGAACTTTGTGAAACCAAGCGTGAGAAACAAAATTAATTCATAGGCGTTTACATGCAGTGGGACTCTAAGTTCTGCAAAAGCATTTCTGTACAAGTGAGTTTTTCTACACAATAGTGTCAACCTAATTTTGATAACATAACACTTGACATAATCGAGAAAACAGGCTGGAATATTAGAGAAAATATGGGGCTAGTTGTGGGAAATATCTTAATCTGTAAAGTAACTATTGTTGTAAATAAATGTAGTGGATTAAAAAGTAGGAGTAGAAGTATCAGATGGAAATGCTCAAAAGTAGAAATACCTATGGTGTGTGATCATAATTAATCTCATACATCTCACATGCATGTTTATTCCTACGTGTCTCCACACGCAGACTTCTTAATAACTGCAATGTTTTAACTAACCGACAGTGTTGACTTTGCTGATGTTTACTGGCGGATGACGAGGGTAGCGGTAAAGTAATAAAGAAGAAGTGATACTTGAACCTTGACCTCGGTCACAAATGTCCTCCCGCTGCACGCGCTGCTTGGCTGCACTATTTCTCAAAGAGCTCACTGGTTAAATGAAACGCAGAGGAGGAGCTGCCTTCAGTGGCCCAAGAGGAAACTTCCCTGTCAGTCTGAGTGTGACAACAACGTGAAGCGCACCTCACAGTGTCGGAGCATCGCTTGCAAACCAAAACCACAGGCGTAAACATCTGTGTCCTGTGGAGTCCTCGTGTTTTCACCAAGAACTTTGCTGGAATATGGGGTAAAATTCTGTGCGTAAAGGGGACATTTGGACATGATGGGTTTGTTTCTTGTTGGAGAAACTGGAGAACGTGCATTACTGGAAAGTGTCACCTTCCGGACGTGAGAGGGGAACCTTGACTTAGTGCGAAACAGTTAAAGAAGTCCCAGCAGGTATGAATTCCACGGAGGAAGCAGGGAGATTTAAACCGCCCACCATCCCGGCGATTATGTTCATTTTCGGGGTGGTAGGGAATGTCATCGCGATCGTGGTTCTGCGGATATCACGAAAGGAACAAAAGGAGACCACTTTTTACACCCTTGTGTGTGGCCTGGCGGTGACAGACCTCCTTGGCACCCTGCTAGCCAGTCCCGTCACCATCGCCACCTACATTAAGGGCGCCTGGCCGGGAGGTGAGGCGCTGTGCCAGTACTCCGGCTTCATCCTCCTCTTCTTCTTCTTGGTCCAGCTCAGCATTGTGTTTGCAATGTCAGTGGAGAGATATTTGGCAATAAACCATGCGTATTTCTACAACGAGTACGTCAACCAAAAACTCGCTGCTCTGACTCTTTTGGCCACTTACATTTCAAACATCGTGTTTTGCGCGCTGCCCAGCTTGGGGCTCGGGCAGGTGAAGCTCCAGAAACCAGGGACCTGGTGTTTCATCGACTGGCAGAACAACAAGACAACAGTCGCGGCTTTTAACTTGATGTACGCGGGTGTGAATTCAGTCATCGTGCTGGCCACTGTCATATGCAACGTGATGGTGTGCGGGGCTCTGATCCTGATGCACAAGCGCTTCATCCGACGCACGTCTTTGGGCACGGACCAGCGGCGCATCGCGGAGCTCAGGCGCAGACGGAGTTTCGGACGATTAGCTGGAGCAGAGATCCAGATGGTGATCCTGCTAATAGCTACCTCCGCTGTTGTCCTCATCTGCTCCATACCTTTAGTGGTGAGTATTGAAACAGGCACATTTTGCACCGGTCAGGTGCGTAATAGAGTTTTACGCGTAAGAATGTCACAAAGTTTGAACAAATAAAGAAAACGCAATAGGATGCAACATCAGAAAGCAGGGAAACGAAATGGAAAAAAGATTGTGCGCCTTTACAACAGAGCTGACCCGTATTAAATGATAAAAACAAAGGAAATTGTTAATAATAATAAGCTACCTGAACTTTGCGTTCCCACTTTAGATCTTTGTGGTTAGATGACGCATTTCTCTGAGTCGCAATGGAGAACGTTCACACTCCCTCCGTCTGTTTTTTTTTTTTTTTTTTTTTAAATTTACACAGTTTCAGTATTAACATAGGGAGGAAATATGTGTTGTAGAAATCATACGTGTCAGCTCACATGCTCTATTTCCAAACAGCCCCCGAGAGTTTACTCATTTTAGTCCTTATCAAATCAGAGGATTAGTGTGGACTGTGTGATTTCCGCAGGTGTTTGCTCGTGCAGAATGACATGTCGACATTCCTGCATCTGTGGGGCCAAAGTCAGTTATCGAATTGAAGGATGGGTTCACAGTTTTAAATTAATTTGTCTTATTAAAAAAGGCAGGGGCCCAAATATAAACTGTTTTTGCACGCTGTACTCATTCCTGATGGGGCAAATCCACAGTCCTCATTCTGTGTGAAAATCTAAAATTCTGAAGATAATACGAAGCTTAGGCAGATTTTTGCACAGAACAAAGATCCTGTTCCATTGGAAGTGATATTTTAAAGCAACATTATGCAACTTTTTTTTTACTTTAATACTTCAACATAATTTAGATGGCACACTGACTTGTAATAGGGAAAATCACACCTCTGTCGTATTACCAAAGTGTAAAGCTTTATAGCACACAATACCACCTTGCTATTAGATGCTAGCTCAGTTTTATTTCTTTTTTATTACAACCTTTAGTTCCCCTAGAATATCTGTAATTGTAGACTCGAGTGCTGCAGGAATGAGTCCTAAAACCTGGAAACGCATTTTAGCACCGGCCCCCTCGTCTTGAAGTCAATGGGTTTTTTGAATGGATTTTTGGTTAGATGCCTGGTCTGTGCTGCACACAAGGTTAAGAGACTTTCACGTTTAGTTCTACGACATATAGTAATACGTCAGTAAATACCCCACTCACACAATTTTGAGGCTTTTATGTGTCTTCCAAAAGGCAATCACTAAAAAATGGTAAATGGATCTGTACCTTTCTAGTCTTCCAACCACTCAAAGCGCTTTTTACACCATGAGTCATATTTATCCATTCACACACACACATTGATACACCTGTGGCCGAGGCTACCATACAAGGTGCCACCTGCTACTCAGTGTTAAAGACACACGCACATCGATGGAACAGCCATCAGGAGCAATTTGGGTTTCAGTATCTTGCTCAAGAGTGCTTTGACATGCAGTCAAGAAGAGCCGGGGATTGAGCTACTGATCCTCCAAGTAGTGGACTAAGATGTTGCTAAATGAGACTACAGAATGTTATCAGACCAAACATGGCTTTACAGCCGTGCTGTTTGGGTGACGTTGAAGTTATGCTACCATAGTGTAGCTCGTCTATAGCCTAACGTTAGCTTTTTTACTTCTGGCGATTGCATTTACACTTCAAAAATCCTAAAAGTGGTATCCATTTGTGGAGATTATCTGCTGAACAAACATGTAAATGTCTAACCTTTTGTTTGTCACAGAGCGTCTTTTCTACAATAACCCAAAATCCAATGGAAAAATCCTGTAGGCTTTTAGACAATGGAACCAGGGTGATGCTAACTTACACATCGGCCTCCAAAAAAAAAAAATTTCTGCAGCACTCTAAAACTGTTGTAGAAGTCCAAAACTTATACATCATTAGCAATGCATTAATAACATAGCCTATACCTTGTAACTGAGGAAACTAATGCAAATGAAAAAATAATGACAATCAGACAGCAGAGTGTACATCCCTACCAATGTTACTTATGACAGTTAGCAATGTAGGCTGTGACCTTATCTGGTTCATCACTGTCTCTCAGAGTTTTGTAGTTTTTCGGGATGCCAAAAGTCACATTCAAACTCCTAGCAAACCATGTATAGGGGTGAAAATGCTAGCAGTATTCAGCAAAACTAAACATTTCTATCACGTTTTATTCTATTTGTTATTTATCCTATTTATTAAGTGTTCACCTCCGATGTCTTCTGATGTTATATTCATTAGTTCCAAATCCTTCAGCCTGTCAAAAAATGCACGTGTACGGCTCTTTGTGAGACTCCAGACAGTGATGACACTGATAAGGCCTATGTCACAATCTTTCATCAACAACATTAGCAGGCATGTGCACTCCGTTTTCGGATTGTTGTTTTTTTTCCACCGTTAGCCTAGAGACAGATTACTATAGTTTCAGGTGCGATTTGTATTTACGACAGTGATGTACCATTCGGCAACTATAGGGGCGCCAAATCACAATAAATACCAATTCTGGCATAATGTTGCTTTAAAGGCCCAGTATGGATAAGAGAAATGACTTCAGAGAGCAAGTCTGCCTTCATATAGGTATTGTTTTAGACTTGGAAAAAATGTGAACCTGTCCATAAGGATGAAATGTTGAACATTGAGGCTTTGGTGACTCTAGCTGTGTGATGACTATTGATGAGACCCTGGGGAAACCCAAAGGCCAAAGGCTGTCTCATAATGAATGATGATGAGAACTCTGTGTGTATTGGCCTCTCGCCATCCCCACACTGCTGTGGTTGCACAGAAGTTACAGTCAGCCAAGTGTCTATTTAGATTTGACCGTTCCATGGCAACCATGTAGGAATATGTAAAATAAACAATTACTTTACCCTTATAAACAAAGTGTAGACAAGTTGGGGCTTGTAAAAACACTTGCTAAAATTGATTCTGTGCTTGTTTTCCATGTTCTGCCATGTCAGTTCCTTAATTTGTCCTATGTCTTCTCTCCTGTGCCACCAGTGGAGGATCTTTGTGAATCAGCTGTACAGAAACCAGACAGAAAAGTCTTCTGGTCTGAATAAAGACCTGCTGGCCATCCGCATGGCTTCAGTCAACCCCATTTTGGACCCTTGGATCTACATCCTGCTCAGAAAGACAGTGGTTCTTAAGCTAATGGAGAAAATCAAGTGTCTGTTCTGCAAAATGGGCGGGCGGGGACGAAGGAACGGCGGGCAGTTCCGCTGTGCCGACGGCCACCTTTCCTCCTCCATTGTCTCACGAGACTCTCCCTCACTGGTGTCACGTGAGTTGCGGACAATGGTGTGCACCTCACAGACTTTTCTATACCCGTCTGAGGAAAACACCAGGAGGTCATTTGAAGCGGGGGAGCAGGGTGGCTCCTTTCCACCAGCTGCACAGACGTTACAGGGCCCCCAGGAGCTGGAGGGGACTCAGAGGGGGTTTCTACAGAGTGATTTAGAGGAGAGAGCACCAGGCAGGTCACTGAAAGAGCTTCCAATGTGCCCTAAGGACCCAGCTCTACATGTGACCTTCACGGCTGTGACTGCAAACATACAGGAGAAATGCATATAGCATGATCTCCAAATCACTGTGATAGACATGTCATGGGAGAGGCGATAGGGACTAATAAGAGCACTGCAGAGACATGATGGTAATGTAAAAGCATGGAAAGACTGAATAGCTATCAATATCTGTAGATATCTTGCTGTTTGACAGATGTATTACTGAACTAAATACCCACTGTCAGTGTATTACTCCTCAGTCATAACTCACCACAAACACCATATCTGCAAATAAACTTAAGTAAATCACAAGTTATATCAGTTATAAACAATACAGAACAACATGGTGTTGTAGAGGAGATCTTTTGTTGCACTTTCTGAATCTGAAAACCACTGCTCGGCTGTTTTGAACAACCTGCACAATGACTGTAAAGAATCAATGTAAAATGTGAAAAGTGTTCCATGATGTTAATTTATTTTAAGTATGAAATTGTACGTTATTGTCTTCTCTGTGAGAAGGACCAGATAGTTTGGAGCCATTTTAAATCGGTACAAGATGAATGTGACGAGTTTTTTTGGTACGTAGGAACATTTGCAAATGATTTGGTCCGAACTGGTTGGCAGAGCAGCGCTGACTTCAAAGCTAGAATCATACCATCCCCTGCATTTCATAACAAAAGGCAGCTATACTGTGGCTTTCCCACAATACAGACACTGGAGGATGTTAGGAGGCCTTCTCAAGAAATGTGTTAATAACAAATAGTTAATTTACTCATTCCAGCCCATTACTTTGCAAGGATTCATCTTATTTTACCTTAATGTAATGTGCAATTCCTCTCATCTAATCAGACTTTAGGGGTCAATTGAGAAGGGGAATGAAAACTGAAGACTTTCTGTTCAATGATTTTAAAGGTTTTGCCTTTTCTTACAATGGATTTCCAGGTGGCATTAATGCTATTGTTGCTATAAAGATTGACAAATGCATATTTCATTATTACAATTTTTTTTTGAAGCAACAGCCAGTGTCAAATTTACCATAAAATGACTCTCTTGTGAAAAGACTAATGTTGTACCAAGCTCATGAATAAACTGAAAATAAAAGTTGGTTAACGTCCACATACAGTTGTGTCTGTTTTGATTTGGTATGACAGTGAAGTATGTTTGCAAAATCAGTGTTAATATATGATATTTAGCTAAATATGCTTGGTAAATATGTTTAGTGTGCTGTAAAGACGGGAATCAAAAGGTGTACATTTAGAGCTGAAACGATCAGTTGTTGAAAGCTTATGGTCAGAAATCTGAAAAGGGCAGAATTTGAAAAGTGCTGTCAGGTTCTCTGGAGCTGGGATTTATGCTGGCTAGGTTTGGGTTACTGCAGCAGCTGACTGGGGGTCAGTCTCCAGAGCTGGTGCCTGCCCTCATCCTGGCAAGATGGTCTGTAATGGTGGGGAGTGAAGCGGAGGACACAGTATGATTCGAGGCTCTCGCTAACGTTAGCTTCATAAACATGAATACAAAGCCACAGCTGTAATCATTTAGCACGAGTTAGCAGAAGGCTAAACTATTAACATTTTCTCTCCATCTCTGAAACACTTAAAGGTATTGAAAGCTGTTTTGTGTCATTAATCATTTATTTTTTTGAAAAGTCTGTCTTCCTTTTCTTGGGTTGTCTTTGCAGTGTCGGCAGTTGTTGCCAATGCTGGAACCACAAGTTCCTCTGCATGATTCTTTAATACTGAATCAGGCTTTCGCTGAAGAGGAAGTGCAGGCACATCTGCATTTGTAGAACAGCCATCAGGAACACCCTCTCTCTGAACTGACCTGTGATGGTCAAAGTCTCCAGTCAGGGACTGAATTTCCTAAAGCCTGAAAACAGAGCCAAGAGGAGGTGCAGGAGTCGAGTGTTCTCTCAGTCCATTTGACTAACAAAATGCTCAAAGGGTATTATTGGATTTTTGCCCAGTGATGTTAAAATTAAATTTGTCCACCTCAGCTTTAAGGGAAGTTAATGGATGGAAAACTAATCGTAAACTATTATAAATGATTAATAATTTATGTTGTTTTGGAAGCAGATATGCCCCCAACATCTCCGGTTTCAGCCTCTTAAATGTGAATGTTCACTACTTTTTATTATTGTAAATGGACTTTTTTTGGCAGGTTTAGATTGATCTTTTGATCTCTTGGAAATGGTGCTTGACATATTTCACTAAGACATTTAATAAACCATAGAATTATTTAATTCATCAAGAATATAATCTGCGTCTTAATCAAAGATGTAAATAAACATGAGTTGTAGCTCTATCCGTACTTTGGAAGTGGCGACCTCTCTGCATCTTTGCTGAAAATCAAATATTGATCAGCCCGTGACAGAAGGACTGATGATGGAAATAAAAGTCAATGCTGATCACTTGAGGTCAATGGATGGCAGGTCACATCTTTAACATGAACCTGCTGCAGAGCAATGTGTAAAGAATGCTGTGGAGCATTTCATGAAAACCGTAATTGATAATATTTTTTGAATTTAATGCCTATAAATGTTCTACAATAACATTTTCTTTTGCCAGCATGTCACTGTCAGTGACACTGAGCAGCTGAGAAAGTACAGGTCAGTTTTCATCTCATTCATTTACAACAGCGCTGATGTCTAAAACACATTTCTAACCGGTGGCCAGGTCTGATGGCATGACACCGCTCACCTGCTGACAGATGGTTTCCTCACTCCCAAAAGATTTCCAGGTCCGAATGTGGCCAGTGTCCACAGCCTTCCCAGAGCAGTTAAACACCCCTCTGGGAACAATATCCCGTTAAAGAGAGCTGTGACCTCAAGACTGAGAAATCTGTTAAAGCTGTAGAGTCTCTCGGGAGGCAGGATACAGTGATTGACGAAACAGTTATGACGGGATTTTAACAGAGGGCGAAATGAGGAAAAATGATTCTTCTTGGAAAGCTCATTCCCCACCTCATCAGCTAACAGCGGGAATACACTACAGTATATGTGACAGGCTGTTTTTGACATATAAAGCCCGGCCACAAGGAGTCTGTGAAAACAATTGGCTATTAGAGGATGGCACTTAAAAAGCAATGTGCTCATGATGTGGCCTTTTAGCACTGGGGATAGAGTTAGGAGCAAAAAGGGAATTCCAGGAAATGATAGATGTAGAAATGCTAGCAGTATTTGTACTATTATATCTGGACCAATGTCAATGTTAAGGTTAAGTGCATGAAGGGAAAAGGGCATATCTAGAATTACCGGAGACCAGGGAATGGAGCACTAGTCCAGATAATAGATATCATTTTAAATCTTCACATTATTACAAAAACTTAACATATAAGATGTATTTGCTGTAACATCATCTGGCTCACTAAACTTCATCTGTGTGTTTCTTTATCTCTCATACCTTCAACACATACCACCACAGTGTCCCTGCCTACCACTGGATGCTAGTGCAGTGCAACAACACTAAGTGCTCTATTTCATCAATGTATAGCGCATGGTCTAAAGTACAGTCAGGGCGTGTCCAACTCCACTTGGCCGATCCAGCAAATTGGAGAAGTGAGTGGTTTTCTGCCTCTGCTGTCTCCCAATCTTCTGTCCCATCAACAGGTCGAAAGATCAGAGGAAATGCACAGATGATCTGCTTAACTGTGGAGGGGGGAGTGCTGCTGCGTGTCCCTGTGTGCGTGACAAGCAGATGTATGCGTGTTGTGAACCCGCGTATGTGGGTGCATCTTACTTTCTGAATAATAAATATAAAAAACTACATGTCAACCTTATAGTGCAGCTACAGGAGTGAAGGAACCACCAGAGTCAGTAGCATTTAAATTTTGTGCCAATCCATCTAGTAGATGTTGACATATTCACAGGATACATGAAAACTTTGACTTGCTAGTGACGCTAGAGGAATAGTCTGGGTATTCCCCTTTCGTGCCAATCCATCCAATACTTGTCAAGATCTTTATCTAAAAGCTAAACAAAGGAAAAGTCAAAGGATCATCAAAATCTGTGGAATTCATCCTCTGGGGACCATGAATGTCTGTACCAAATTCCACAACAAAACATCCAGTACTTGACTGAAATATTTCAGTCTGGGCCAAAGTTGTGGAGCGGCTGACTGACAGACCATCATCCCAAGAGTCACTCTGCTGGCTTAGATTAAGACATGGAGTCAGATTTGAATACTTCACTCAGTGTAAACATGAAATAACTCCCACGAAGAGCTGAAACTAGCCAATACAGAATGCATAACTGATACTGCCAAACAGTGTAGAATAAGATGATTTAACAACTTTAAATCTTAAGGGGAAACAAAAGCATTAACTTGTGTGTTAAGGGCTAACACTGGGTAGGTAGGAGTAGGTTTGGGTGACCAAAAACATATAAACCATTAACAGCAATCAGCTGGGTCAATGGGTTTTCCTTTCCAATTTTTAATAAACTTATCATAGATTTCGTCATAATGTTTGTTTTCATAAGACTGTATTACCAAAGAAACTGACACACCGTCCACATACATGTGTATTCAAGCTAATATCACTCGGCACACCCTGATCAAACACAGGTGACCTCCGTTTAGCTTATTATGTAACTTCCAAAAACAACAGCTGCACCTGCGATGATTTGGGTGCGTCCCAGGTATGGGTGTAGCTACTTGAGCAATTATTCCTCTTTGTTTTGTATTTGTATTTAATTAAGATCAATTTGTAGACATGTGTTTTCTTTTTCTCTGCCTGAGAGACCGTTTTTCAAAACTAATGCTGGCACTTTGTTTTGTAATGTGTGCAGCAGCCCTGTCAGTTACTCTGAGAAAATTACGAGTTCACTTTGCACAGGACTTTTTGCAGTCATCTGCCACTCTGAGAAAAAGACTGTCATGACTATTACATTTAAATAAGGATGTGGTCTTTACCATCAGTTCAGAATCATGACTTAGCAGAAACCCTAAGCATTTTTATATGTTTACACGACCTGCCCATGGTGCTGACTAACCATAGAAATATATAAAGTGTACATTTAGATCCATTTCTTTTTCCTTGGACCATCTTGAGACTTCCACTCAATTAGGTCTATATTTACGCTGCCCTACAAACCTGAGGAGGACCTCAATTGCCTGAGAAGTGAGACTGAAAATGACTCAACATTTCTTTTGATCTTTAGTTTACCCTCATGTCAGTGACTTGGGATTCTGCATAGTGATACAGTGATGAAATAAATGCACTTAATGTATTTTTTCCCCACTAGCAATTTTAGTCACATTTATTTCCAAGAACAAAATCTCAATCTTTAACACTTACTTTTAAGGGCAGTAAGTTCAGTTTCATATTCAATCATAACTAACTTCTAATTGTGTGAATGTAAAAGGGGTTGTTTTTCCAGGTGTAGCCTACAACAGAACCACAGATGTGACTGATCTGAATTATACATTTTTAAAAGTTACTCGACTTACATTTTCTGGTAAGAGCGTTGCCTAATATACGCCAAAAAGCCTTATCAAGCTCTTACAGTAATGTTTTCACTTTCACTGTTGTGGCTTTTCTGCAGTATTACTGGAGAAATTCAGCGGAAACAATGACTTTCTGTAATTAAAGCTGAAACAGCACTCTGCAGCTTGTGGTTTACTTTATTTTATCTTTTGTGTACTTTGCCAATGCATTCTGATTCTTGTGGTTCAGCACTGTAGCATATTGTACAGAAGTGTGATTGTAAGTGTGAGTGAGTAAGTGTGAAGCTGATTATTTCCCCCTGAACTTACAGAGAATGGGCTACATGTCTCTCTAAAGGGTGGTGTGTAGTAGTTCCTGCTAAATGCAGAATGTTGTAAGTATAAGATTTTTCTATTTGTCCTCCCACGATGTTTTGCATTGTAAGGTTAATTCAATTAATAGTTTTAAAAAAGCCTCATAATGTATGTATGCATTTCATTTGTTTTGGCTTTTAACATTATATTTGATATTTGGATTTCATCTTATGCTCGCACTGGTGGGCAACAATGTCGCTCAGTCCGCCACTTTGGTCCAGACTATATATCTCAACAACTATTGGATGGACTGCCATGAAATTTTATACATATTTAAATTCATGGTTCCCTGAAGATGCACTCTAATGACGGTGGTGACTTTTTG